ATCTTGAAATATCCTGGGGTCATTGCCCCTAACCTTATCCCAACTCTGTCCCCACTAGTGACTGTACCCTCAGACTCTGCTGCATCTTACTCAGCACATTATGTGCTCCTCACTCACTTTCCACCCCTGAATTTTTTTGCACACCCACACCCCAACTCCCCAAGCAAAATTTGAAAATATGTCTATGATGGTGATGATAATTAACATACAGTGTATAAAAGTATAAACCTTTATTAAGTTAATGTTAATTAAAGAATCATTGTCAACTACAATGCATTGCATGCTCCTGTTTGTTTATACATATGGGAACTGTGTAATTAAATATGATAATTATTTGCATGATATAAGTACTGCGCTGCCTCCTATTACAGTATTACTTGAAAGCCTTCAGGGGTGGATCCAGCAAGGTTTTTCTAGGGGATGCTGGGTGAGCAGCCAAGTGTTTCTTTATAATTATTTAAGGGGTGGTGGGAGAATGAATGAATTGGCTACCTAATGACTCAAGCACTAAAGGCACAAGCTCTCTAGGGGGTTCAGGGATATGGACATTGAATTATGAGCTTCAGTTTGACTTCAAAAAAGGGAAAACCTTGGAAATTATGCCATGTTTCTGAATTTGATTTTATTGCACCCTTGTGGACCAAGGCCAACAGGGGTGTGCACCCCCCTATTAATCCACCCCTGAATTAAGTTACTCCACTACATCATGTACACTTAATTACAATAATTTTAGTGTTAATTTAAAATTATTCACTGTTAATAATTTTACTGTACTGAAAAGTCCAATTAAAATAGTTCAAAATTAATCCAGCTTTTGTGTCTTCAATTTCCATACATCTTCCTTGTACTGTATTTTACCTGCCCTATTTTTACTTGTCAATGGGGAGGGTTAATTGGGAAACCAGAGTGATTCAGGACAAATGCCAAATTATGGTGTCTCAATTGTGAGATAATTCTGGAATAAACAAAAATATATTATATACAACAACAACAACAACAACAATTTTTTATTTACCTACATATAAACAGTTACAGAAAATTTTAACAAGTTTGATATTTAAAGAGGTACTGGCTTCCTAAAATAACTAAAAAGCTAAAAAAGTTAGGAAGCCAGGAAACATAAATTAAGTTACATTACGGGTCGAAGATATACAGTACGCATACACACAAACACAAAACTATACTATATTTGCACATACACTAATACAAGTTCTACCATAGTTTTCATTATAATAAAAAATTGAAACGAGGGGCAGAAATCAGTCTTAATATTGAATATTATTGAAAAACAAAAAATGATCAATATTTACTTAAAAATTCTTTTCTTAATTTTTTTTAAAATTTCATGTAAGAAACAGATTTAAAATCTAAACCAAATGAGTTCCAGACTTCAGGCCCTTGAAACCTAATATTAAATTTACCATAATTTGTCCTTGCTTTGGGAAGATAATAAGATTGATTTGCAGTTGATCGTGTATTATAATTATGGATTGTTTCAATGGAAGTAAAAAAGGAACTGAACGCAGAAGGTAACATTTGATTGTGAAATTTAAACATGAAAACTGCAAGATGCAGTGTAGCAAGGTCAGACAGCTTGATAACTTTTAACGACTTAAAGATAGGGCTTGTGTGGTCATCAAATTTAGAGATACGCATAGATTTTTTCTGCAAAACAAAAAGGGGTTGTAAAGTTGTAAGGTATGTATTACCCCAAACAGTTATCCCATATATTAAATATGGGTAAATTAAAGCATAATAAATGTTGGTTAGAATGTTTATATTTACATAATATCGAAGTTTTGATAAAACTCCAACACTTCTCTTTATCTTTTTTGCAATATTATCAACCTGGGGTTTCCAACTGAGATTTGAATCAATAAAAATACCAAGATACTTGATACATTTCTCTTGTTGTAATGGTATATTATTCAAGGTTAATTAGTCGGTGGGGCCACCTGTGGTGCCCACCGACTCTAGGTTTTGGCACACATTTTTTTTCGCGGATCGCAGATCGCAAATCTCCATTGTACACAAATTTCCATTATGACACGTCACGATTTTAAGGAAATTTGAGTATATTGAAGTGGAAACATGTGAGACAACGACATTGAATTATAGAACTATATTTAGTTGGAAAATTGAGGAAAATTGAGTATATTTAAGTGGAAACATTTGCGACAAGGACTCAAGATTCTCTGCTCAAGGAGTGAAAGGACAAACTATCGTGAATGTTTTTGTATAGTTTTCAAGGATTCAAGATTGAAGCCTGATAGATGTTTCACAGGGTAAGTACTGAATGTATTTTATCTTCAGCGACCATGGAATAGCGTGCAAAAGTTCGCTATCGACTATTTGGTCCAGTCGTGTCTTTTCATTTGGGGTTTTTGAAATAAATATATTAAGAATTCACTAAAAGTTATCATGACGTTTTCACTGTTATGTTATCGAGCAGGGAAGTAGATAATTTGTACATAATTTCATATATTTGTATCGCGCGGCGGAGACACTGGGCGCGCAAATGTTGATGCTTTCTATATATTTACTATTGAATTTTCGAAATCTCCGGAGCGCAATTTCCAAACTTTCCAGTCAGTAATAATATTTTGGTCTTTTGGATCTACATAAATTAAACTTAAAGTCAGACATCGCCTGCTTCTTTTGAGTCCTATTCCTATTAAATAGCATTGAAGGATTAAGGTTCATTGGGACAAAATGTATTACCAAAAGCTGAAAAGGAGGAACTCAATTTCCTGATATCGTGTGGAAGTAACATAGAATCTTTCTTGGCCCAATAACATATATTATTATCCCATGCAGATCGCCGCCTCTATACTGCACAGGCGCACTGGTATGTAGATTAGTAGATGACTGAAGCGTTATTGCTATACATAATACAGTCGCTTGGTAATCTCCTCTCACAAGGCATTGTATTACACAGACGTTATAATGTGTTTAGTTTCGAAGGGAAGAATATTCTTGTCTTCCAGCCTTCGACGCACCGGTTGGTAACATTACACCAGCCGATCTGTGTAATGACAACAGGATAAACGCTTATAATTTTAACACATACGATAGATACTGTATACTATATGACTATTAAAACAACATTGCTACATGGTTGTACTTGTTTTAACTATTAGCGCTAACTGCCAGGCAAACTGCAAACTTCAAGATTCAATGTTTTCGGAAAAGCAAACACGCTGTTCTTAAAATTGCATATTTCCATCGCCCCAGCGTCTTTACGCTCCGTGGAGCGTCTTGTTCTAGATTAAAAGGTAATTTTCTTTGAGGTGGGTGAAAAACAACAAAATTTGATTTTTCTATATTCAATGAGAGCCTATTTGCGCAAAGCCAATTATGAATATTAGATAACTCACTGTTTATATTAGATTGCAGAATAGCAAGATTCTTATGTTTATAGAATAAATTAGCATCATCAGCAAATAAGTGAAAATCAAAAAGGATGAAGAAAGATGAAAGTCTTTAATATAAAGCAGAAATAGTACTGGTTGAAGAACAGATCCTTGTGGAATACCACAGGAAACTGTTGTTGTGTCAGATTCCTTAAAAGATTCCATTTTTCCTGGGAAGTAGACATGACCATATTGACCAACATCTGTGCCATAACATTGGTTTGAACGGCAATCTCCATTATTATATAGACAATATTCCAACAGACGTCTATCTTGACTAAATGTTTATTCAGATTTAAACAATCTTGGAAATATCTGCATAATATTCAAACATTTAGCCATTTGTTGGAAGCATTGCCGCGTAGGGTTTTCGCCCTCCAATGTTTACCTTATTCTGCGCCGTCATGTCAGTGGACGATTTTCAAGATACGATATGAACCAATTAAGAGCTATACCTCTTACGCCATAATACTCCAATTTTCTTATCAAAATTTCACGATTTACAGTATCGAACGCTTTAGTAAAGTCTAAAAAAATCATGGTCATGATGGTTTGAATTTTGTCAATTATGCTAAGAATTGCATAATCGGCAGAGTATTTTGTATGGAAGCCAAATTGATTGTCATATAAGACATTTTTCTTTTCAAGAAAATCTAACAATCTGCTACAAACTAGGTTACCCACAGGGTAGTAATGCTGCCTTTGACAGCAAAGTACAAGGTGTTTTAAACCAGTCGTTCAGAAATATCCTACTGTTGTTAATCCATTTATTGGCAGTACCCTAAAGTAGGGTGCATTGCTTGCTAATGGGGTTAACAAGAGACATTGGCAGGTTTGTTAACACATTTACCAGCAGTACCCTACCACTGATGAGTAAGATCTTCTGGCATTGGACAAACTAAATTCTAAGTATAGGGCGCGTTGCTGGGTAATGGATTGAACAGAAGATTTGATGCTTCTGGAAATGTAAACAAAAGCTTATGGGAAACTTCATTATGATAAAAATAATTTCTATTATGGTTTAATCCTAAGGCATTCAAATTCAACACAACATTAATTTGCAAAAATGTCAATTTGAAAATGTCCCAAAATAAACAGAACAAAACTATTAAACTACTAAGTTTTACGTATAAGTTTTACGTATGGCTAAAGTGCGTATACACAGTCATATAGACAGTCAAGTTCGCTGTATTACATAACCAAGTTTGCCATATTACGCAGTAGAAGGAATTTTTTCTATTGAAACAACATTTCTCTTGGCGTTAAAGACCACTTTAGCTTGGACTGTCAACAGAATTTCCATCAACAAATCGTCCTCAAGGCTATCAAATTCAATTGCCAAACTGCTTTCTTCTTTTTAGATGTCAAACAATTCTTTCAGTTTGTCATCAAAGAGTAACAGTGTGGTGGTGGAGGTGCCATCTCTAAACAGCATTTTTTCTTTAATTAAGTCAAACCGCATTCACTGCATTTGACAATGGGTTTATTTACTATTGCTGCAACCTTGACTTGACACTTTGTACAGGACAAAAATCGCTTAAGAGAGACAACACCTTCGGCTGGACATTCAACAGACTTCAGGGATCTCTAGACACCCACTTCGTCTTGTCTTTCAGTGCTCGCAGTTGTCTCTTCAATTGTAGATTTCTTGTTAAGGGTTAAATATTTATCACCTTCATACTCTCTAACGACCGTCCTGGAGAGTTTGTAAAAAGAAGCAGAAACAACTTTATCAATATCCTGCTCCCACAACACGAGTCGAACAGATGCGGTACTATCTGTGAAAATGGCTTCCTGCTTCCACAGGGTCTTTCCATTCTTGAGAATGGTCTCTTCAAAACTCTGAAAGGTGATCCTACCAGTGACATTAACTAAGGTGGAGTTGACGGTGTCTAGAATATCTTTAATATTTGTTACACCGCAGCTCATCTCGCATTCACTTGGCTTGGACGGCAACTGTATATCAAAGTCAATTTCATCTTCACACGGTTTATCCAACTTCGACCTTTTATTGATGAATATTTCCTCTTCATTCGTAAAACAATTTCTCTTGAGTTCAAACTTTTGACAGCTTTACTGGTGAAGATGACTCAAATTTTGATTTGTATTTTGCATGTTTTTCACCATACTGTTCGGTATGATCCTCAGGGATGGAAATAACGGCCGGTGACCGGTAATTACCGGACAAATTTAGATAAATCACCAGCCAAATAGATATGTCAATAGTAAAGTAAATCGCAAACAGGTTTCGTATAGTTTACTGTGTGGAAAATTGCATAGAAATAAAGAAGTTTGGTCATTACGAGTCTCAGGGAATTAAACGGAAGTATGTACGTACCAAATCGATTAATTTTAACAAGGGTGAAAGAAAAATCCATGAACCCTTGCTTAATTTCGATAGGGCGTAAAAAAAAAGTACCTGTGGTTCCGGTTTCATATCATGAAAAAATTAGGGTCGGTAGGTCGGAAATAAATTTTTTTTTAAAATATTTTTTTCATGATTTTGGCGGTTTTTTGCTGGGCGATTTGCAGTAGTCCCGACATCAATATTAAGTAGAGATGCGTATTTCCTATGGACGAATTTAGGCAATTTGGTTCAATACTTAGTATGACAACAGACGCCATTTTGGCACACTGTTTGAGCAGCCTGCAACCAGCCGGAGAAAATAGGGTCGCACAGTCAATCACGTTGAAAAAACAATAGGGTCGGCAGAAAAAAATAGGGTCGGTCGGGAACCGGAACCACATTTTTACGCCTAGTGTTTTTCGAAGCGCCATTTTGAATTTTCTTGTGATTACAAATCAGGGGCCGGTTGTATCAAAGGCGTTTAACTCGCTAACCGCCGTTTAACTCGCTATCCGCCGGATAAAATTTAAACACTCGAGAAATCGCGTTGTATCAAGCCCGTTTAGGGCTATCCACCAGTTAAATTTTGCCTATCCACCGTGTAAACTTATACGGTCTCTTGAGACCATTTAAATCGCTATACGGCGGATAAACTCGGAGTTTGAAGATAAAACAATGATTATTTCGGATGAAAAAGCATGGGATAGTTATAAAAATGTACAATCATGTGGAGGAGTTATCTTTTTAAATCCAATAAACATGAAAAACTCACTTTTAACTGGCTTGGTCTTGAGGTACACTGAGGTCACTTGCTCACTTGTAATTCCGTGGCTTTGCTATATTTACGCACACCAGTGTCATGTTTAGATGTTAAGTATATATACTCTGGCTTTTTCTCCGTCTTTTCTTCTGTTATATAGTTTGAAAACAAGCAGTAAGACTCCCAATTTTAGCTATTGTAATGACTTTGAAAAGCCAACATGTATACAAAATAGACAACAAGACGTCAAAAATCGAAACAAAATTGTTTGCTCACGTTAATCGCTTTGATCAGTCAATCAAAACTTGGGACAAAATGTTCTTAAAATTGTTTTGAACAAAAGTGCAAGGTCGAGGAACAAATTTCAAACAATATAAAACTGAATCAACTGACAAAAGCCAAATACAACTCACAGTTTTTGCTATTGCCTTTGACTCTTCGCATAAAGAAGCCAAAAATCTTTAAAGAAATATCTGTAAGTGAATTTAAGTGAATGAGAAACTCAGCACAATGTGAAAATGAAAAGTTTGATATAGATTTGCAGCAATGAATGGATGAGCAAACTCCAAATAAAAACAACAACAAACTTTATTGCAAAAGCTTAGTGGAATTCACAAGTTAGATAAAGCTTCAAAAGTTTACAAAGGCCTAGCAACAGCTGACGCAGAGGTAGGAAATTTCAAGAAAATCCGGTTTTCTCCGGTTAAATTAAAGGTTATCCTACGGATAGTTAAACGCGGTACTAAACAGGCTTCGTACAACGCAATTTTATCGGCCGTTTAACAATCCGCTGGATAAGAAATTTATACGCTGGATAGCGGCTAAACACCGTTTAAATTATGCATTGTATATATAAATTTTAGATAGTTTGTAAATATTATTGCATGCTTAGTTATGCTCTTCTCTTTTAATAGACATATTTGTAAATCCATTGCATTTTTAAACTAAAGATGGATCAAAAATCATCATCATCAAATTAAACGCCTTTGATACAACCGGCCCCAGAACTACTTCATATATGGTGCACTAAAACGTATCTTCCGCTGGATATTGAGCGCGCAGGCGCTTGCGTCCTGAAAAGGGCGGGAATCACTGGCGGGAATTAGCAATTTTTTCGCAACATAATGGCGAACAAACTTCCAAAACCAGGAACTTTTCAAAGGTGGAATAGTGAGTTTAAATGGCTTGAAATTAAAGACAATCGCACGTTCTGTAAAACGTGTTCAAAATGGCGAGAAAGTATTGTTTCAACAAGAAACTATTTTGATACATTTGTGAAAGAAGGGAGTGTTAACTGACAGAAAAGTGCAGTTAAAGAACATAATACCAGTGTACCACATGTCACTGCGATTGATTATGAGCAGCGATCAATAAGGGGGAAAACTATCGCAAGCAAGTTGTCAATAGAATACCAGAGAACAATCCGTTGAAGCATTCCTTTGCGCGAATGTCTGAAGATGAGCGTGAGCTGTTTGTGCGATCGTTCGAATTTTTTACAGGAGGCAGTAGGCATTTTCTAATGTAGCTCCCTCCCCCCCATCACAACTGATGATGCCATGATTTTATGCTTTTAAAAAAACACCGGTCAAATATTTTGCCTTGTCAAATTTGTAAAAATTACCGGTCAAATTCGTTTCCCTTATTTCCATCCCTGGATCCTTGACTGGTTTGCAGGGTCATATCAAAATACAGGTTATTACATTGGCTACTTTTTAACAGACTGAGGTTGTGTAAATTACGCCACAACTGGACTATCTGAAATAAAATAAAATGCAATTAAGGTATTACAGAAAAATACAATCTGAGTGTAACTTGGGTGGACTAAGATAAATAAGAATTTATTTTTTTTTGGACAAACTATCCAGGCATGGATTTACTGGGGTCCAGAGGGGTTGCTATTTTTTATTATAAAATTATATACAGTAATTTGAGTAATAACATGATGATTATAAGCTAACTGTGAACAGTAATTACAATTGAAATACAGTAGTCGAGCAAGTAGTTGATGTATGATGTTTGTAATGTTACTCAGAGGCCGGTTGTTCAAAGCACAATTAGCGCTAATCCTGGGTTAAATTTTAACCTGCTGTTTTAGTTTATATATTTCTACACATCTATTTGTTTCGACACTTCATAGAAGAAAACTCTTATTGGTCCAGACAGGATTTCTGAAGAAATATTTCCAGGTTTATAACCGAGCTGTTGGGAAGTTTGCTTTCAATTTTAGATTAACCTAGGATTAATTGTCTTTTGAACAACCGGCCCCTGAGTGTGTATCCACACTGCGGGCAAGCTTGAAAAATATGCCTGGCCACGGTGGGAATCGAGCCTAGGATTTTGGAATACTAGCCCAATGCTCTTCCAACTGAGCTATGCAGTCAGGTCAGTTTGATTATATGATATTTCAGAACAGAGTCTAGTTCCTTCGATATCAGTGTAATCTAGTAATCATGATTTTTTCTGGCCACCATGGCCAGGCATATTCTTCAAGCCTGCCTGGTGCAGTGGACACTCAAGCTTGCCTGGTGAGGATATACACTCAAAGTAGCATCACAAACATCATATTCACCTGAGTGACCACATAACACAAAAAAATCATAGTTGATGTATGTTGATGGGCGGGCGGCACACATGACCAACGCATCTCAGCACCAGAGCTCATAGGCGTATAAAGGGGGGGGGGCTCATTTGGGGCAAAAATGACCAGCTGAGGCTTCTGGCCCTCGTCTGGCAGACTGTCATCTGCCCTGCCAACAATTTTTAGGCTTGTACACCTACGCCAGAGGACACCCCCCTTTGGTATCAGGTCACGCTGGATGCATCTCTGTTGCACTATAGGGATAGCAATGTTGCTCATTAAAGATACAGGCACAGAAAAAAATTACTTGTGTCTGTAGTATCCACCCATAATATCTAATCAATATCTAACGCAGTAATAATTTAATAAGGAACACACATGTAATGATGTTTACTTTCACTTTTAACACCAAAGCAGACTGTTGTTTTCCTTTTTATTTTGTATCTTGGTGTGATACACTACAGTGCCCTTCCTACTGCATGTGTAAAGTAAAATATCAGTTTGGACTTTTGCACTATTAGTACTAAATAAAATATTAAGCATCAATCTAGCTCACAGGTCACTTTTCAAAACACAATTGCCAAGTTGGGCAATTGACTTGAATATTTTGATGAATTTACTATGGTATAGCAGTGAATCTGCAAGCAAAGTCCAAAATATTGCTCTCACCTTCATCAAGATGAACACCAAGCTTCTGCTTACATTCCTTTGTTTCATGATTTTTATCACCTAAGAAAAGATCAAGATTGGCAAAAATAAATATTTTGATGAATTTATAAGTACTTTAGGTGGTACGATTATTCACTCTTAACTATTCCATGGTCCTACAAGTTTCGTCCAAAAATATTGGTCTTACCTTCATGAAGATTAACATTAGGCATGGGGTTCTTACATGCACTTTCATGATGATTATCTAAAAAAGATAAAGAATCTGTTTAGGTATTTTCACATAACACCCCCCCTGTCAATAATTGTACATACCTTAGGCTATTGTATTATGAAGTCACTTATTTCTGTCATTTTACAAACATCACCTAGATGCTCACCTTTATTTTTAAAACTTTCCATCACTTGGCTAAATAGAAAAAAAAACAATTACATGTTAGGTTAGTCATGTTAGTCATACAGACAAGGATAAAACAGTGGGCACCACTTTCACAAAATAGCAAATATTTGTAGACAAGGTAAGAGAAAGAAATCTAACACTATTTATTGATCAAGGGACACAGTTATAATCACAATTTATTATATACATTTATCGTTTTTTTCAGCAATTTCATTTAGGCGCTTTTCTTCCATAATCCTAAATTTTAGGGTTTGCGATTCCTTTATAGCACTAAGCCGATTAAAGCTGGTGGGTTCAATAACTAAGGAAGAGATATTAGGAACCCTACTTATAGCCACATATGAGATTCCAAGTGCAGACTCTTTCTGACCAATATCAACCCAAGCTTTTTTTAACGTCATCCCCTGACTTTTGTGTATGGTAAGAGCCCATGCAAGAGTTAAAGGTATTTGCTGTCTTTCATTTATCGTGCCATTGCTAATATTACTTGCGGTAAATGGAACAATAGGAACACAAGACGCTATGTTTCCAAAGGCTGGTCCAATGTAGTTATCAAAGTGAACAATTACAGCAATGGGTAAGTCAGGTGGTTGGTGATTAACAGCATAAATTATGTCTACAACAGTACCAGTTGATCCATTACAGAGGCCCAGAGAAGGCCACAAATTCAATGTCAACATGACCTTAGCACCTTTAGAAATATATAGACATGGTTGTAAACCGAAAAGTTGTTGCAGACTTATGTGTTTGGCCTGGTTACCAGAGTGACAAGCATTTATTATGGCTATAGGCTGGTTCAGTTGCTTAAGTTTATTATAATTGTATTCTGCACCTTGCTTATTACTATAATATAACCTAACAGCATCTTCAAACTCATCAATGTTTGTAACAGAGCTCGGTTGTCTATCAAGTAACCATTTCCAATCTGAAATATTTGACTCACCAATCCGCAACCTGCCCAAGAGATCACAAAATGAAGTTTGTTCTGAATTTTCACCATTTACTCGTTGATTAACTCTCAAAGCAACTACATTGGTAAATAAAAGATAGGCAAGATAACCCTGTTGTCCTATGTCACCTGATGGCTTAGAGTGATATAAAGGTTTGTCACCTACTGGTGGTAACTGACCAGGGTCACCTATCAAAATGATTGATTTTCCACCAAAGATCTCTTCTTTTAAACCTGTTATTTGCAGACATCTTCTGTCAATCCATCCCAATGTGATCTGGCCAAGCATGGAGTATTCATCAATTATTATGTAATCAATATCTGCTAAATTATTTTGCAGGTAAAGCAGGCATTGCCCAGACAAATCTTTGTGACTACTGCATGCAATAGGAAGTCTTAAGAGCAAGTGAATTGTTACACCATATATAGCATAAGATGCTTTTCCTGTAGTTGCAGTTACAGCACATTTTTCTCCAAGGTAGTTTCGTACAGCATTAATGAGGTAACTCTTTCCAGTTCCAGCAAGTCCGGTGACAATCAAAAGAAGTGCTTCTTTCGATTTCAAAGTTGAATGATGAACAGTTATATTGTGTGCAAGCCTCTGCTCCTGACTAAATGAAGTTGTGTCAATTGGAATATAATGACGTAAATGGACAGAATTTTCATTCTTTTTTGTATCAATCCATTTTGGCATTTCCGCTATTTGTTGTTCGCTATACTTAGCCCGATCTAAACACCAATTATACTGATCTAGATCAACAGTTTCCCCATTGTTGGCAGCACTGTCATTGTGAAAACGAGATATTATCATCCAATATTAGTTCATCAGAGATTTTAACAACAGATTCTAGACCCTTTTCTAGCTTTTCTGCCCAGTTAGGAACATGTTTCTTTGCAAAAGCTGTATTTAAAAATTCATGCCAAGCTGAAATGTAAATGTCATCAGAAGGGTTTTCACTACCCCATGCATCATTAAAGGAGTTCTTCCAGGGCTTGTATTTTAACAACTGATACCTGCAATGCAAACTGTAATTCTTACCTCTAGGATTAGAAGAGTAAATTGGGAAAAATCTTGGAACAATGTTACGTACATGATTCTCAAGCTTTTGATTAACAACTTTAAACTGTTGTACAAAGTCAATTTTGATAGACAGCACGCTTTGCATACACATCCAAAAGGGATTCTTTCGTACAATATTGAGACTCGCTTACTTTTGTATCCACTCTTCTTGATGGATTTAAATTTACAGGTATAACATTAAAACTTGACATATATAGTTTTAATGATAGGAGTAAATGCATCGTTTCCTGAGCACCTATATCACGCTCTCCAAGAGTCTTAATCATAATCTTTTTGACAGCTTTAGCTGAATCAACATCAGAATTTACACTATTAATAACTTTGTTAAAGGCATCATCAAGTGAGAATGATCTCGATTCACCTTTGGCCGCATATTTTGAAAGATACTCGACACAGGCATGGTGATCAAGTATGACTTGTATGTCACAATTCGCTCTCCAACCTTGCAACTGAATTCGTTGATGGTTATTTAGCCTTTCATCATTCCTTTTTGTAATAAATTTTGCTTTGAAATGCACACTGCTGTCTTTCGTATACATTTGTTCAACTGTCAGTTCTGTTTTATCAGAGCAATCAATTGGATAGTTAAAACGACATTTGAGGTCTTTTGAACCCTTTGTATGTCGAAGGCAATACATGGTGCTACAATGTGTAAATATAAAAAAGCTATTTGGTAATGGGGATTTTAGATTTTCTAATGGTGAATTTGGAACCTTTGGTATTAAATTAGCCAGGTTATTTCCTATGTTTGTAAAATAGTTATTAAATGCATTAGCAATAATTTTTGGGTCAGTTATTTCAACATTGCCCTCTACAATTTGAATAGGTTTCTGGTTTGTCTTTGGCTTAAAATGAATTATTTCTTCAATTCCACTCCAAATTCTTTTGCTATCATTGATGTTTTCTAGGAAATAACTGTTATAATATTGCCTTTTACTAATCTTTAAGAGATGATTTATTTTATTTCTGTAACATTTAAATTTAATATGGTAATATGTAGATATTGTCTTTAAATATTTATTATATAGCTCATTTTTCATTTGTATAGACACTTTATTTGCAGGCGTTATCCATGGTTTTGATTTAAATTTCAGTTCTCCTCTTGATATTTGTTTTATGGGGATGTGTTTGTCTATTATTTCTGATGTTTTATCATAGAAAGAATCAAACATACTAGACGGATTGCAGTTGGATGTAAAAATTGTTTCCCAGTTTACAGCTTGCATTTCAGTAACCAGGTGGAAGAGAAGAAAATTTATTAAAGATAACAAAATTTGGTAAATGATCTGTCAGGTCATAAACTAGATTCCCACTGATAACAAAATGTTCCACTGAGTTAAAGAAAATATTATCAATCAAAGTGGATGAATGGTCAGTAATTCTAGTTGGTTGTACAATTTGAGGTTGAAAAAAGAAAGAGCCAAGAGTATTGATAAAATTTTCAGAGCCAGCATAGGAATCGTATTTTAAAAGATCTATATTGAAATCCCCCATTATCATACAAAGTTTATTTTCTTGATGGATTTGATCTATTGTCAAATTTATATAGCTCATGAAATTATCAATGTTTCCATTTGGCTGCTGATATATTATTCCACATATTAAATTTTGTTGACCATTAAGATGAATTTCTATCCAAAGGGTCTCAAAATCATGATTAGAAGTAGTGAATTCTACCCGAATACCAAATTTTAAATTATTCTTTATACTAGAAAATACATGCATGCAAAAACCCTCACCTTACTGACAAAACATTATGTTTTCTGAATATGAAGAATTGAAAGTAGTTGTCATGGTAACACGATAATTTTAAGAATAGTTTTAAACCTGGTTTTAAAATTGAAAAATTCCCCCCAAATATCACTTTTTATAACAAAATTATCAATTTCCCAAACATATATATGCTAGGTATGTTATTATACGTAATATAAGCTTCGATTTAATGTAAAATTCAACCACAAATGCTTCGTATAACGTTTTAAAATGTTCTTAAAACTAAACAGCCTTTTATCGAATTATCGGTAAACATTGAGTTTGAAATAAGCTGATTTCAAATTCTCGCATGAAAATAACTAATTGCTTTCCTCTTTATTTAAATACTTTAAAGTGCCTATGACATGAAATTTTGGTGTATGATTTTTTTCACTTTTCTGATACTTTTTGATGTGCTGATTATCGTGGTAATATTTATTTTTTAATCACAATGCGAGAAAATGCTTTTATTTGGGTACAAACATTAGAATTTTTAACAAAAATTTTCCAGGAGACTGGAACCGAGCGTGACGTCACACGTTAGAGTCAACACTAGCTGCACTTTCAGCATTAACAAAGTTCTATACAAAAGTTAACACTTTGGCTTTAGTATTTTAAACAACATTTCTGTAGTTTTGACATGTCTGACCAAGAATGTAGCTCCTCGTCCGATAGTAGTGAGGGTTACAACGAAAATAATGATTCCAGCGGCAGTGGAAGCGACGAACATGTCCTTGCTGGTGAATTTTTGCCGTATCAAAACGAGCCTTTGGCTGATAATAGTAGCGAAAGTGATGATGATGATGAACGAGACGAAGATGGGCTCTCCGCGTCTGTTTTAAGGCAGCGTTACGAGAACGAAATTACCGTAGATATGTGGTAAGTGCTTTAACACAAATTACTTTGAAAAATATGAATCTGATAGCCGTTGTGACACTCCAGTCAATGTTTATATTTCCGATTTGTAGGTGTACATGTGGTAGTTGTAATATTTCACTGCTCGTTGGCGCAAGAGAGTTCAGATGTTGTAAAGAGGTAGCTGAAGCCGTTGAGAAGTTCACTTTCATCGGTTTAGATGCTGGATGCATAGTTGAACACGAAGACTATAGCCACCTAACGCATCGTGCTGTCTTGACCGAGGTAGCGCCACTGTTAAGAGACAAGAATGGCAAACGTTACAAAAGGCAAACAGGGGCCACGGAAAATGAGTAAGCACACGACGAACTGTATAAATACCAGTATAGTTCAAGTCAATTTAAATGGCCATCCATGTTTTTGTACTTTCAAAGGGGTTCCAACTTGTGATTTTTTCTCATTTATCATAGGTATTTACGTGCAGTTACTTATAGATGGCTGGCAAAATGGCTTTGGGGGTACATGGGTTTTGAAAACACTAGGCCACTTCCTGCTTGTTTGTACAGTGAAATCAGGAAACACTATGCCAGTGCACAACTGGGAGGATATGTGCCAGGACAGGAAAGAAGTACTGCTGAACAATAACTGAGCATATTTTGAGTTCATACCTCTCCCATGCAGAGGCTGTTAGTTATCTTATCAATTAAAAATACATGTGCAGGTGTCGGCGACACATTTATAGACCACATAATACGCCTGCACATTTTCCTCCACCAAGGAGAGTTAATACTTGTGTAAGTAGTCAATCAACACACTGCTAAATGTTGTGGGTTCAAGCAGTCTGGTCTCCCAATTATGAGTAAGTCAAATGTACCCTCGGGGATTGTCGATGAATAGTTTTTGTGCTGCATTGTGGACTTGTTCCGTGAAGGGGGTAGCCTAGAATCCGTGCTTACAAGATATTGGGGATGAAACCGGACTTTATATGGAATTTATTAAGGTTTAAGCCTTCACTGTTCTGTCCATCACAGGGGGGGGGGATTCTGTGTGTGTGTGGGTCAAACAATTACAGAACAAACTCTTGACTAAATCCAATCCAAGTCATTATTTATATGTCCCTATGCTATAAAAGTCCAAAAACCACTCAACTCACAATTTTAATCAACAAAGTTAACTTGTGCATTCAGGCAAAGGACACTGATATTTGGGGTGTCCTTGCATAGGAAGTTTACATTTTGTGCAATGTCTTGCTTTTCTAACTTTTTTTGCTGTTTTCTTTTGTATATCTCTTTCCACTTGCATCCTCATGGCAGCTTGTTCTTCACCTTAAGAAATAGTCCACAATAAATTTACAGACTAAGGAAATTTACAATTACACTTCACAGGGAGCCAGTTTCATAAGTTATAATCTCAGACTCTCCAAGAATATTCATTCAATTTTGCTACAGTAAGGGACATCTGTTGAGTAGATTTTTCAGGGATAAATGTCAATTGTACCTGATGGGAAAAGTTCAGCTTCTTTTTGTTTCCTTTTTCTTTGCTGTTTTATGGATTCATCTTTTGCAGTTCTGTCTGGAAACTGTGTGTTTAGTGGGGGTGGTACTTTTGCAGCATACTTTTTTTTAATAGCATTATATTCCTTCTCAGATTTTGAGAAAAGAATTTCCTTTATGTTCCCAACATAGCCTTGAACATTAAAGTAAGTGCAAAAGTTAGGCACAATTAAAGTGCACCATACCACTAAAAGGTGACATTTGCTGTTAAAATAATTACCAGTTTGAACTCACCATATGTGGGTGGAACAGCAACTTCACGTACAATCTCGTCTCCAAGTTTAAATTTGGGATAGGTCACATGCATGTATGTTTTCCCATCTTTTGCTTGCTTTGGTTTCCTATGCACATTCTCGTTAAAGTGCAAAATGGCGAGTATGTGTCTAAAATCCAGGAAATAAAGATGTATAGTACACCTTGTATTTATTTATAATACTAGCTTCTTACTCTAAACAAATGCATAATTTCTTTCTCCATTATATCAAAGCACTTCCTACTTCAGATGCCCAAGTCCCATTGTAATTACCTGCAATACGTCCCAAGCCATGAAAAGCAAAGCATTTTCGGGTGCCACTGATTGAGTGTAGAGTGGAAGCCTTCAAGGGCACTGGTCTGAGCATGGGGAAAGTTTGCTAATGTCCTTTAACACACTTTTTTTCATCAGAATCCCATTTAGTTTATCATATGCTTTGTATACTGTATGTTGACATTCTAATTCGTTGTCAGATTGGTGAGTTTTACAAGCTCTTTTCATATATGTATATAAACCTGCCAACAAATTTTCCCTTGAAGGGTAAAATTACCTGGCATAAGACAAAGTAAAATAACTTGACATTAGCTTTAGACAAAACAGGGTGCACAAGGCATTGCAGCTTCATTATTGGCCACTTGCACCTTTTTATTCTTATACTTTGTCTAATGCCAGATGGTTTTATTCTTCAAGGGAAGAATGTCCACTTAATGGGTAAGCGTTAATTATATTGATCACCATGCACACAATAAACATATACAAACAACGTCATACCAACTTTCATCCATTTTCTCGGTTCTAAATCTCCATGAGCACATTTTGGAAAGAGTGGGTCTGGGTGATTATGTTTATTAGCGATGTGCCCCATCAATGACTTTCACTTGGCTAAGATTAAACTTGGAAAGTTTCCCAGCGTTGTCGTAGAGCACCAATAGATATGGTTTCTTACTCCTTTTGTCCACTCTTTAATCGTTTCACATCCCTTTTCCTTGCTAGCTTTAAGCATCTTTTTCACAATGCCTTTGATGACATGCCACTGGTCAAAGAAATGTTTGATTGCAGGATGTGAATCGCGTATATATTTGCAAATTCCTTTGTGGCGAACAGATGCAAACACAGGAATTGTTAAACCAGCAGTTGTGATCAAGAAGTCAAAGCATTTCTTACAACCATCCAGCTCCATAGCGTTGCTGCTTCCAGATTGGTTTGCCTATAATAATGAAAATAATATTTATTATGAGTTGCAATATTAGTCTAATAGAGAGATTGTCAAACTTTTAATTTGAATTAGAGATTGTATCTCTAATTCCAGGGTTAAAATAACTATGTGGTAACAGTGGTTTCCTCCTGCATAATATCGTTTTTGACAAGTGGTGTAATGAACTAGTGAAACTAAACAAAACAACTAAGACTACAAAACATGTAAAGTATTTCACAAAAAATTACTTGCAACAAGTCGAAATGCACTATCTTCATGATGGTACAGCAAAACATTGTGTAACCACAATATTTTGCTGAGTGGCTCATGGAGTCGAAACGGCCATCTCCGCTCCATACAGCATTTTGAACATTTCGCAGCGACTGGATTAAGGATGCCTGGTATGATTCCCAGTAAATCAGGATAGATGGGATGATCATTTCACTCTGATGACGATAGTAGGTTCTCGGACTATATACTACTAGGCCAAAGTGACGAAATACCAAGAGGACCTTACTGATGGATGCTCCAGCCATGAGTGAAGAGAAGCTTAACAAAATATTCCCTGTTGCACGTCCAAGTAGACTAGGTTGGCTTCGCCATTTGAATGGTTTAACTCATTGACATGAAGAGCATTGTTGTTCTACAGTTACCATAGTGCCAGTTTGGTACATGTTGACCTTGGGTTTTTCCCTTTTGCATTTAAAACAAAAAACAGAGAACAGAGCAAGAAGAGAACTATAAAATACTATAAACTTTGGTTCATCTTGAGGCTTGGTTCCAGCTTCCACTCTGAAACAAAATACAAGTAAGTACTTTATTAATTAACCTAAATCCACTGTACATTTTTGACCAATAAAAACTACTGTACTGTACTTTAATTTTCTTGTACACAAATGGATCAGGATGAAATCAACAAGTTGCCAGCTATTTATATATTTTGTGATATTTCATTAGAGCTTTTGTAAAGACATAAAGATTTAATTATTATGTATAGTTGTACCTGACAGTATTTCTGCTGCACTGATTTGATGGAATTCCAGCATTATTAATTTGTTCCTCCTCCTCTCCAAAAGGGTCCCAACTGGTTCCAGTGTAGCACCATCATAATCAGCTGATTCCTCAATGGTCTCATCAACAGCATTCATATCTTCGTCTTGTTCAACATGTTGCTGTAGGTCTTGAGCTTGATTCTCAAGTTTCTTAAAATCAGATACAAGTTAGTTGTTTGTTTACATTTGCACCCATAACAACATTTGCTTACTTAAGGGTATCTCGGGCACCAGTGACACCCTACTCCCCTTGTCAACATGAATCTCCAGATTTCTGAAAGGTATTTGTGGAACAATGTAAAAAATATTCTGTATTTTTGTCAAAAAGTGAGAATATAAAAAATATTCTATATTTTGTCAAAAGGCATGGACATAACAAGTTCCCCTGGAGGTCGAGGCAAACGGTATGCATGGACAAAAATTGTGTACCAATTCTCAGGGTTACCCTCTAGTAACAGGCTGACTCTATATACTCCTGACATGTCCCTAGCTAGTAGCCTATGAGAGTTTGATGCAGTAGATCATATAAACAGCCCCTATTAGGTCAAAGACATTGAGCAAAAACAGGAAGTTGCATGTGTATAATATACTATGTACCTATAGGTATAAAGTGACTACAATATTTTCAAATTTCATGACAGATTATATACCGAATAATTATAAAGTGTTAAATGGTATATTTGGTTGCCACTTGAGCAGAAAGAATGCTGAAGCCTGAGCATAAAATATGTAAAGTAAACATATACATCTGTCATATTAAATATAGTGTAAATTCTTTATCAAAACATACTATTTACCTCCGTCAAGGCTCGTTAGCTTTTTCCAGTTGAACTACCTTACTTTTTAGCTTTTGTTGCACACCTTTGGCTTTTCTGTATTTGTCATTCAATCTGATATATCGTTGTTTATGTTTGTTACACTCTTCGCATGCTGAACGAGAAATTTCACAGGTATGTGTATCGGCTTCCATGCTCGTTTCAAGTTGTACTCCTGAAATATCTCCTTCGCATGCTTGCATGCTCACTTTGTTGTTGTGCAGATATGAAGCTGGCATCACGAAGAGTCTGTGGTTAGAGTAAAAATTTCAATAAAATTTCTTAAAACTAATCTGATAATAAATTTACATATGAAATTATGTAATATAATACCGCACCTGTCTGCGCTCCTGTTGTGAAACTGGATGCGGGGTTCTGTCCGGTTCGACGGTGTCAATGGTTGGAATCGCACAACTTCTGTATAATAGTCGTTTTGTTGTGATATTGCTGCTGACTTCCAATCCAAGACCAAGTCGCTGGTGAAAGCATTGTGGTTCAAAATGTGCAGAACACAAGCACGAGTAAGGCGAAGGCTGCCAGTCTGCCATTCTATGACGCCTGACAAACTTTATCCATAGATTTCGCAGTTGATTACCAGGTTTTGGAAATTCATGCATTGATATCCCGGGAGTGGTCGAGTTGTTCTTGCAACT